TATTAGTTTAAAAAGAGGTTTTGCTATAAATAAAAGTTTACATTTTATTCTATAATGTCTCCTGATTAAAATGACACTAAAATGATGTTTCTGATACAAAGCTCAGCAAACTGCAAATGAATAAAGAGTGTTTTGCATTCTCCACATTTGGACACTGAAATAATAATCTGAGTGGAGAAGGGGAGGAAGGAGTTGGTTAGGGTTGACTAAGAGTTAATAGGCAATTAGGGCCGGTTCACACCAAGGCCGTGCGATAACAGTTCAGGAGGTTCATCTGAATGGCACTTCCCACGCACAATGTGATCAACGGAGCCACAGCAACCATGCATTACTTTTTTTTCAATCACACGGCATTGTGGTACCACACCTGCGTGCGGGTGAGGAAATCTGTGTAAGCGTACAATGCCAGGTCATGGCACCAAACGGCCAATTTAAACTGGCACTCTCCATGCATTCAGTGCTGAGAGTTCTGCAGCAAGTGTCCTGCGTTGTGGTTTCTGTTTCCGTATCTTGATCCTCTGACTCTGCTCCTCTCTGCCTGCCCTCAACCATCACTTCTTGTCTGCTGATTTGGTATCGCTTCACCAGCACAGTTTGACCTTGGCTTGTCTTGACCCAGCTATTGTCTTCTGATTCTGCACCTCATTGCATGCTAGATGCTTAACCCGGCTTGGCTCTGATCCCACTTCTCCCTACTACTCTGCTGAGATCTTGCATGCTCCCTGTTGGTTGTCTGCCTGCTATCAACTGCAGTGAATCCTCGGCTTGCCTGCTTCAGTGTACAAAGCCATCCTCAACTCTGCCCCAGGTTACATCTTCAACCTTGTCCCAAAGTATCACACTAACCATCCCCTCTGCTCTTCCCAAGACCTCCTGCTCTAAAAGGTCCCTCGTCAACTCCTCCCATGCTCGCCTCCAGGACTTCTCTAGAGTCTCCCCCATCTTTTGGAACTTGTTACCCCCAACCTGTCCGTCTATCTCCTACTCTGACTGCCATTAGGCGTTCACTAAAGACTCATCTCTTCAAGGAAGCCGATCCCACCTCAACCTAACCACTCCACCATCACGGTCTCATACAACTCATCCCCACACAGCTACCTCCTCATGTATCTCTTGCCCTTCCCTCTTAGATTGCAAGCCCTCAGGGGCAGGGCCCTCCTTATCCATCTTGTCTTGAATTGTATTGTGATTGTAATGTCTTTCTTATATTGTAAAGCGCTGCGCAAACCGTTGGCGCCATATAAATCCTGTATAATAATAATAATCTCTAACTGAGAGCGCTATTGCCTCCTTGTCATTTCAGGCTCACAGCAGGTACGTGACACATGCGTCACAGCACAGTTGATCACATGGTGTACAGAGAGTAGATACGCTGAATGGGCACAGGAAGTGGATACAGTGAATGGGCACAGGGAGTAGATACAGTGAATGGGTTCAGAGAGTAGATACATTGAACGTGCACAGGGAGTAGATACAGTGAACGTGCACAGGGAGTAGATACAGTGAACGTGCACAGGGAGTAGATACATTGAATGGGCACAGGGAGTAGATACAGTGAATGGGCACAGGGAGTAGATACATTGAATGGGCACAGGGAGTAGATACAGTGAACGTGCACAGGGAGTAGATACATTGAATGGGCACAGGGAGTAGATACAGTGAATGGGCACAGGGAGTAGATACAGTGAATGGGCACAGGGAGTAGATACAGTGAATGGGCACAGGGAGTAGATACAGTGAATGGGCACAGGGAGTAGATACAGTGAATGGGCACAGGGAGTAGATACAGTGAATGGGCACAGGGAGTAGATACATTGAATGGGCACAGGGAGTAGATACAGTGAATGGGCACAGGGAGTAGATACATTGAATGGGTACAGAGAGTAGATACAGTGAACGTGCACAGGTAGTAGATACATTGAATGGGCACAGGTAGTAGATACATTGAATGGGCACAGGGATTAGATACATTGAATGGGCACAGGGAGTGGGTACAATTGGTACAATAAATAATGTCATAATAAATCTGCCTGCTTGCCTATTATTATTGTACATGGAGTAAAAACTGATTCCACCTGAGACTGGCACAGCGTGGGGCGGAATCCTCGGGTGGTCTGTGGATGTTGCAGAGCTCTGACAAGCACAGGGCCTCTTATTGGGAGGTTCTGTCACTGGAACACACAGCTGTGTACAGGGCACATCCGCTGTATATCACTTCCATATACCGGGGATTACTTCCCTATACAAATCTCACTTCTCCGAAGATATCAAACATGGGGGACGCCATCACCTACTCCGAAATGAATTTCACCAAAAAACACAATTCAAGAATCTCATCAGGTAATAAGAGAATCCTGGGGGTCAAATCATGGGGGAGGGGATCCTAGGGGTAGCAAATCCTGGGAAGAGGCAAATTCTATACAAGGATCCATCTGCTCTGTGTCTCTACATTGATTACATGCACAGGGTCAATCTGCTCATTGTTGATTATTGGAGGATGGGGTATGATATGGTCTCCAGAGCCGTCTATAGACTGCGGATGGAAATGGAATATTTGTTCATCATTTGGAGGTTTATACAAATCCTTCACAGATCAGTCTGGTTAGAAGTATACAAATACTATTGTCTGCTCTCTCTCTCTCATGTCAATGGGTTTTGTTGTTACATTGAGATTTATGCAGATGAGATATCAGCCTCCTGCCCCTCAATGGGAGAGAGCCTGACAAATAATAATAGAGGAGATAACACAGCAACGTCTTTTTGCCTTTTGTTGGTGAGAAGATTTTATGTTACAGACGGGCTGAGATACATTGTAACACGTTCTGCTGCGTAACATTCAGTAGGATTGTACCTCAGATCTGCAATCTATAAATCACACAAAACATACAGTACACACTCCAAAATGTTTTTACATTTGGATTTCTTTTTTTAGGATCCCCCCAGTCTCCCTAGCTCAGGGGGGCCCATTAGGTAGATGGTGATCTAGCAGTAGCTCCCAAAGCGGATGCTGGTAGATCAGGAAGGGGGGGAACGGCGGCCCCTTTATTTAGCTGTGCACATATGATTACCTATTAGCCTGCGTCTGCTGAGCCGAGCTCCCTGACACCTTTCTGGTGGATACTGGGGGTTGTAGTGCTCTGTATTACATCAAAGAATATTAATTTACACAGAAAAATACAGCAAGGTGAGCCAGGAGAGAGAGAGAGAGAGAGAGAGCGGGGAGAGACAGCCAGGAGAGAGAGGAAAAACAGCCAAGGTAGGGAGAGCAAGGAGAGACAGCCAGGAAAGAGAGAGCAAGGAGACAACAAGGGAAAAAAACGAGGAGAGAGAGCCAGGAGAGCGAGGAGACACAGCCAGGAGAAAGAGCAAGGAGACAGCAAGGGAAAAAAACGAGGAGAGACAGCCAGGAGAGAGAAAGAGCGAGGGAGTTTTTTTTCATTGGTAGATCTCATGTAGCTCGTCATTTGAAAAGTAGATCTTAACACAAAAATTGTGGGCACCCCTGCCCTACCTTACGAGAACTGGAGCGGATCCTCAGCCTGGGGTCCAGTGTGGGCTGCTGTGCTGTGATGGAGCTCCATCCATATGTACATTGTTTGTACAGCTCAATTGTGTGCCCTGTAGAGGTCCCGGGAGCCAGAATGTGATGTCACTCCGGTCCAGGCCCCTCTACAAAGCTGTAAGCAATGCACATATGGTCACAACCATACCCCCAGCCAACCCCACTTCAATCTGACACTTGGTGCCGGGCAGCATATTTTGAATGGCTGCTCGGCATGAGAACTGACAGTGCTGCCCTAGGGGGAGAATGAGGATCCTCTCACCTAGCACAGTGGAAGGCACGAGGTGACCCACTGAACATGGGTGTTGTGACCCACCAGTTGAGAACCACGGCTATAAAATATTGTAAAGCTAAAAGAGACATTTAGGTCCCATTCACACTACTGCTGTGACAAAGCATGTTACATACATGGGTGCAATGCACTGCCACTTGTTCTAAACCCCCCGCCAGGTGCACTTTGCTGAAGGACCTACCTTGCCACTCAACTCAACTCAATTAGTATATTAGTGTCCTTGGCAGCCCACTGAGACGGAGGGTGTCTGGGATCTCAGTGCTTTGTCTTCAAGTTTGAAGAGGGATTTCTACACAATGACTATAGCCACAGTGGTCAGTGGGGGCTTATAGTAAAGTGCTTTTACTGTTTGTACAAAATATGCAAATGCATAGTCAGGGCACAGGTTTACTTTATCTATTATATAGAAACAAAATGGCATACCAGACCATTATCGTAGATAGGGGTCTGGTATGGATTTTTAAGTTAACCTCCTTATCCATCTTGTCTTGAATTGTATTGTGATTGTAATGTCTTTCTTATATTGTAAAGCGCTGCGCAAACCGTTGGCGCCATATAAATCCTGTATAATAATAATAATCTCTAACTGAGAGCGCTATTGCCTCCTTGTCATTTCAGGCTCACAGCAGGAACGTGACACATGCGTCACAGCACAGTTGATCACATGGTGTACAGAGAGTAGATACGCTGAATGGGCACAGGAAGTGGATACAGTGAATGGGCACAGGGAGTAGATACATTGAATGGGTACAGAGAGTAGATACAGTGAACGTGCACAGGTAGTAGATACATTGAATGGGCACAGGTAGTAGATACATTGAATGGGCACAGGGATTAGATACATTGAATGGGCACAGGGAGTGGGTACAATTGGTACAATAAATAATGTCATAATAAATCTGCCTGCTTGCCTATTATTATTGTACATGGAGTAAAAACTGATTCCACCTGAGACTGGCACAGCGTGGGGCGGAATCCTCGGGTGGTCTGTGGATGTTGCAGAGCTCTGACAAGCACAGGGCCTCTTATTGGGAGGTTCCGTCACTGGAACACACAGCTGTGTACAGGGCACATCCGCTGTATATCACTTCCATATACCGGGGATTACTTCCCTATACAAATCTCACTTCTCCGAAGATATCAAACATGGGGGACGCCATCACCTACTCCGAAATGAATTTCACCAAAAAACACAATTCAAGAATCTTATCAGGTAATAAGAGAATCCTGGGGGTCAAATCATGGGGGAGGGGATCCTAGGGGTAGCAAATCCTGGGAAGAGGCAAATTCTATACAAGGATCCATCTGCTCTGTGTCTCTACATTGATTACATGCACAGGGTCAATCTGCTCATTGTTGATTATTGGAGGATGGGGTATGATATGGTCTCCAGAGCCGTCTATAGACTGCGGATGGAAATTGAATATTTGTTCACCATTTGGAGGTTTATACAAATCTATCACAGATCAGTCTGGTTGGAAGTATACAAATACTATTGTCTGCTCTCTCTCTCTCATGTCAATGGGTTTTGTTGTTACATTGAGATTTATGCAGATGAGATATCAGCCTCCTGCCCCTCAATGGGAGAGAGCCTGACAAATAATAGATGAGATAACACAGCAATGTATTTTTGTCTTTGTTTAGTTTCTTTTTTCTGCCTTTTCTTGGTGAGAAGAGTTTATGTTACAGACGGGCTGAGATACATTGTAACACGTTCTGCTGCGTAACATTCAGTAGGATTGTACCTGAGATCTGCATTCTACAAATCACATTTTTACACACACACACCCAGTCTCCCTACCTTACGAGAACTGGAGTGGATCCTCAGCCTGGTGTCCAGTGTGGGCTGCTGTGCTGTGATGGAGCTCCGTCCATATGTGCATTGCTTGTACAGCTCCGTTAGAGGTGCTGGGAGCCAGAATGTGACGTCACCCCGGTTCAGACACCTCTACAGTGCACGCGAGGGAGCTGTAAGCAATGCATGTATGGATGGAGCTCCCTCACGGCCATACACACAGCCCACCCCACCTCAATCTGAAACTTGGCACCGAGCAGCATATTTTAAATGGCTGCTCAGCGTGAGAACTGACACTGCTGCCCTAGGGGGAGAATGAGGAGCCTCTCACCTAGCACAGTGGAAGGCATGAGGCTACCCAATGAACATGGGGTTGTGACCCACCAGTTGAGAACCAAGGGTATAAATATTGTAAAGCTTAAAGAGACAGTTAGGTCCCATTCACACTACTGCTGTGATAGTGCATGTTACATACATGGGTGCAATGCACTGCCACTTATTCTACCCCCCACCCCCCCCCACCCCTCGATGCATTTGCTGAAGAAGCTACATTGCCATGCAATTCATGTCAACGCACTAACCCATTATCACCATTAGTCACACAACTATTGCAGATTGCGCCGCCTCTCAGTCTATGCGACAGGTTTTGGTATATTGGTGTCCTTGGCAGCCCACTGAGACGGAGGGCGTCTGGGATCTCAGTGCTCTGTCTTCAAGTTTGAAGAGGGATTTCTACCCCTCTTCAAACATGAGGTGGAAGGCATGAGGTGACCCACTGAACATGGGTGTTGTGACCCACCAGTTGAGAACCACGGCAATAAATATTGTAAACCTAAAAGAGACATTTAGGTCCCATTCACACTACTGCTGTGATGATGCATGCTACATACATTGGTGCAATCCACTGCCACTTATTCTAAACCCCCCGATGCACCTTGCTGAAGGACCTACCTTGCCACTCAACTCAATTAGTATATTAGTGTCCTTGGCAGCCCACTGAGACGGAGGGTGTCTGGGATCTCAGTGCTTTGTCTTCAAGTTTGAAGAGGGATTTCTACACAATGACTATAGCCACACTGGTCAGTGAGGGCTTGTAGTAAAGTGTTTTTACTGTTTGCACAAAATATGCAAAAGCATAGTCAGGGCACAGGTTTACTTTATCTATTATATAGAAACAAAATGGCATACCAAACAATTATCGTAGATAGGGGTCCGGTATGGATTTTTATGGTGGACCACAAGCAGAAAAAACAATTGCTCGGGGTCTCCCCCAACGTCCATACCAAACCCTTATCCAAGCAAAAGGAAAGGAGAGGCTACAAGTGTGCATCCCCCTCCTGATCCATAGTAAGCCACATGCCTTCATTATTGGGGAGGTAGATTGCCAAAGGGCCCCTGGCAAGGCACCTTGTCCCCACGTTGATGGAGACATGAGCCTCATCCCTAAGGTCCAAGATCAATAAGGAGGAAAGGGACATTAGATAAGGATTTTGAAGCAAGGGATGGAACAGACAAAGGAATGATCTGGAAGTTTCCTGCATTCAGAGTGGCTTATAAAGACCTGGAGATCCAATTGATAGGAAACAGAGCTCATTAAGACAAATGATTAATGCACAGATTCCAGAAAAGACAAACATTGTAGTGTTAGCTGGGCTTGGTGACAACAGCTTGACCAACATCACCTCAACAATGAGATCTGAATTAAAATCCTGACAGTACCGTGACACTTCAGTGGGTCTCTATCCCCTGCTTAATCAATGCCCCCTTCCCTTTTACTCTGAGATCATGGTGATCACCCCCACTATCTTTATTTTTAGTCTTTTTTAAATCAGAACATGGACATAGTACAAATAGTAAGATGTTTTATAATCAAAGTTTCACAGCTGACAAGTTCTTTCTGCAGAAGCTGATAATCTAATAGACGTGGGAGTCTATGAAATAAGTCCTGTTACCTCATTGGTTGTTACATGGCTGCTAGTCCTGGATAGAGGGGAGCCGGGTGAATGATGGGAAAATGTGAAATGAGTTTCTGCCTTCTCTACCATTCCAGGTTCTGTGCAGAAGGAAGACGTGGTCACCTATGCAGCTGTGAAGAACCAGCCAAGAGAAAAAAAGAAGACAAAGTCTAACAAGACCCAACAAGGTGAAGTCTCCATTCTTGTGTTTATGTGATGCAGGTTCAGTCCCGGAGCCCTCTTGTAGAATACATCAGATGCATTAAATATCACATTAATATCAGCAGCTGTAATGAGTTATTGAGGGTTGTCTATGTGGTCAGGTCCCTCACAACGAGGGAGTTAGAAGAGCTCTGTCCTTTGTTATTTCCCTAACCTTCCCTGGTTAGATACTTCTGTCTGGGAATTAGTAGTAACTACAATAATCCTCTGACCCTGCCGGCACTAATAGATTGATTGTCCTTCAGGATAGCTTCCCTATCCTTGGTAGGGTAGAGTCAGTCTGGGCCAGGTCCACATAAACCTTTTTGATTTCATTTGGAAATAAACTTAGTCAGACAGAGTTTAACTGGATTTATAAAACCCTTTAAAAGTTCTTTAATTGCTAATAATTGGACTGAAAAGAAGTCTACTGTAAGAAAATGATGGAAGCCATTTTGCTGACATGCTTTTCAAAATGCTGGTTCCTTGGCTGTTATGTTGACCTTGCAACACTAATGCTTTAATCACCCTAACCGTCCACTCCGCTCTTGCCAAGACCTCCTGCTTTCCAGCTCCCTTGTCAACTGCTCCCATGCTCGCCTCAAGGACTTCTCTAGAGTCTCTCCCATCCTCTGGAACTCTTTACCCCTACCTGTCCATCCATCTCCCACCTTGACTGCCTTTAGACGTTCCCTAAAGACTCATCTCTTCAGGGAAGCCAATCCCACCTCAACTTAACCGCTCAACCATCACGTTCTCAAACAATTCATCACCACACAGCTCCCTCCTCATGTATCACTTCCCTCTCCCCTTTTAGATTGTAAGCCCTCAGGGGCAGGGCCCTCCTTACCATCTTGTATTGTGATTGTAATGTCTTCCTTATATTGTAAAGCGCTGCGCTCACTGTTGGCGCTATATAAATACTATGTAATAATAATAATGCACTCTGAGTCACTGACCCAGGACATGTACGCAAATTAGGGGTGATAACTTGAGTCTGACTTCACCAGCTTATGTTTGTTGTAGCTCATTGATGTTCCTTTATCTGAGACCCTGGCTAAAGATCCAGAATAACTGATGACACAATGCCTTGTAGTATAAAGCTCACCCCTTTCCGGACGGCTCAACAGTCAGTTCAAAGTAAACAGCCAAGTGGAGAAGATTTAGGATGTGTTGTGCTCTCAGTTCTGTTGCTGCTAATTACCTTGATCCAGTGTATGACGTGCAGATTTTTATGGCTAAGACCCAGATTGGTTGTAATGGGCAAAGAAAATCTAGATTAAATTTAACTGAGGAGCTAATTGTGATGTACTCCTACCACCAGAAGAAGATCTCTCTTTAGCTACTCAGGAAGGCAGGTGGTGGTGTTGTTATTCAGGGTGACCTGCCCAACTCTAGACAAAAAACAGTGTAATGATCTCTTTAGTATTAACCTTAACCTTATGGTCCCATTTTAATCAGCCAGGCAAGTGGTGACACTAAGTACTAACCGCTTAGTCAGCATGCTGCCCAATCTGCATGGCACTGGTGCAGTCACATGACTGGGTAGAAGGATGGTGACAGATAAGGTCCTACTATTGGTTTGTATAGGGGCAGATTACATCCCTCTCTCTCTGGAATCTATACCTCTTATAATGCAGGGAAGGATGGTGACAGAGGAGGTCTTACTAATGCTTTGTATAGGGCAGATTATGTCTCTCTGTGGAGCCTATACCTCTTATAATACAGGAAAGGATGGAGACAGATGATGTCTTACTAATGCTTTGTATGGGGGGGCAGATTACGTCTCTCTGGAGTCTATACCTCTTTTATACAAATACATATTTTGCTGATTTTAGAAACTGAAGCTTGGCATTGAGTGCTGTTATTAAGTCTATGAACAACCTCAGACACTCTGTTGGATATCTGTAGCAGTTCCTCACTGTGTTTTGTCATTTCAGTCTCTCCACAGGCAGATGATGTCTCACTGTTGTACGCCTTGGTTAATAAACCCAAGAAAGCAGCAGAGAAGAACAACAAAGAAGTGGCCAAGACAGAGGAAGGTAGAACTTCCATATAACGGGAAATTGTACAAGTGAATGTGATAATGAGAGCTGGGGGCTGAACACCTCCCACAGCACAACACTCGTCTTCCAACACTCACATTTTGGCTTTGTACAGATTAGGGAAGTATTAGAACCTCCACCAGTGGCATCTTTTAGGAGATTTCCCCTAACTTCCTGCCCAATAGACACAAAAGGAAGTGAGATAATATCTTTACCTAGTGAGGGAAATTCTCTTTTAGACACTTGGCACTGGAACAGATATCCCCTATTAGAAGAGTTCTCCTCTATTTCTGTTCTGGAGACAACTGGAAGATGTTGGTTTTCCCATCATTCTGTTGCCATTTTGTGTTACGGAGAGTGAATACTCCTAGCAGAATTATATACAGTGTTAAAAGATATATTATATAATATTTTCACTCGTGTCTTTCAATAATAAAGTGATAAATTAGTGTCAAAACATTTTGGTGAACAGCTGATACCCAGCATTAAAACCTTACAATAGTCCCTAATCTAAATAAATTTGAAACATTTTTGAACATACAGAAGTTTATAAGAAAAATAAACATTAAAAAACATTATTCGTGCAATAAAGAGATAGTAAATAATAATCTTCCAATAGAAGAAAAATATACCTACACTCCCTTGAGAAATCAATCTACATTTAATCCTAAACCGTCAGGTAACCACTTTGTAGAAGTCTTTAAACAGCTAATAGAAGAAGATCTAAGAACTCTAGAATATAGATCTGTACAAAATAAAGCCTTTATTAATAAGGGAATACTATTACTAGAAAAAAGAAAGGAAGTTGTAGTAAGACCTGCTGACAAAGGAGGAGGAGTAGTTGTTATGAACAAAGAATACTATCAAAGAGAGATGGAAAATATTATGCAAACACCTGACACCTATTTGAAATTAAATAAGAACCCAACTAGTGAATTTAAAAAACAATTAGAAAATATGATTAAAAAGGCGTATAAGAAGGATCTTATTAATAAGAAAGAAAAAGAATATCTAATACCTTTAATAAGTCGTACTCCAGTAATATATTTTCTACCCAAAATTCACAAGAACCAAACAGCCCCCCCGGGTAGACCAATTGTAAGTGGGATCAATTCACTCACAGCAAGGTTGGGGGAGTTCATTGATTGGGATCTCCAACCAATGGTGAAAAAAAACAGAGCTTACCTGAAGGACAGTAGGGATATCCTAAACATTTTAAATAACATGAAGGTAGGTAACAACATGGTAATGGCCACGATTGATGTCGCCTCACTATACAGCAATTCCACATACTGGCGGTATAGAAGCGACAAAATGGGCCCTAAATGCTTTCTCGGATTACAAAAAAAAACAAAAAGAATTTATTATACAGTGCCTAGAGTTCGCGATGTCCAAAAACTTATTTTGGTACAACAGTATATACTATCTGCAAAAAAGGGGAGTGGCAATGGGTGCAAAATTTGCACCCAGTTTGGCCAACCTATATATGTCCAAGTGGGAAGAAATCTATGTTTTTGGCAAAAAGGTCCATAATATTAAACTATGAAAAAGGTTTATAGACGACATCCTAGTTATATGGGAGGGAGATGTGGATTCGCTTCAAATATATTTAAGATCTCTTAATTCCAACGAATATAATCTCTCCTTTACCTACACTATCAGCACCACTAACGTCCAATTTTTAGATTTGGATATTTCCATACAGGATTACCAATTTATAACCAAAACCCATTTTAAAACAACGGACAGGAATGGGTATATTCCTACCTTCAGCTGCCATCATCCTATGCGGTTGAAAGGAATACCAAAGGGGCAACTCACCCGAATTAAGCGTAACTG